TGCCGCTGCTCGGTCTTCTTCCCCCGAGATAAATGTGCTGATAATTTCTGTATATATTTTTTGGCTCTCGTTTTCCCTATTTTTGCATATGTCAACTTTTGTCAATGGGCCAAAAGCGAGTTGCTGGCTAAAAGTTTCTATCAGCCCGAGACGAGGCAACTTTTTGCATCACTGTGGCCTTTGTTCTTGGCTGGGATTTGATAAGGATTTCGCATGAGTTTGGCCAAGTCTGTGGGTTAAGCTTTGATTACCGCTTATCAGAGGGCGGCAGACGCGTTTCTTTAATCCGGGGAAACATTAAAAATTAATATTTGGGAATTGACAAGGGGAATCCATTTAGCTGCCTTTGGAAACGCAGATATTGCATCACAAGTATTTAAGTACTTCTGCTCCTATATGTCGCAATTTGCCAACCAAAATATCGCCTCCATTGAACTCGAATTCATCAATGTCGCCTGACTTTTGGATGTCGGCAAACTCTGCAAAATTGATGGTTGGAAAAAGCTTTTAAGCTGCCAATAGCACATGCAGGAACTCCCAAACTTTGGAACCCTTCGGAATCGTTATTTCAATGTAAACAATTCAATTGCATAAATATGCCAAAAGAGAAACACAATAAACTTTATTGGGTGGTGGGTGGTGGGTGGTGGTGGGCCAGGAATAAATTCCAACAATTTGATTCAATCAGAGGCGTAACGATATCGAAATCTGGGAATCGAATGCCTTTGTCACCTTTATAAGAATGGCAACTTTGCCGAAAAGTTATTTAAAGCATTTTCCCTTTTCCCTGCCATTTTCCATCCCGAACTTTTCTTCATTGTTTGCGCTCGAAGAAAAATGCGTTTTTCATGCTAATGTCAAACCTTAATAGACGGCTCCCTCCCGCTTTTAGCCTCGGAAAATCCTTGTACGGAGGCGTGCCACTCCCACCTTTGCCAAACATGTGTTCAGAGATTTTCCGGTGGCATTTCCATTTTGGGGATAACCGAGAAGTTGGGGGTCATCGTGGCCTGAGTTATTTCACTCCAGAGAGCTTTCGATTCGGCTGGTTTGACTTGCGGCTCTCCAGTTTATTGAGAGGGCGTGTTTTGTGTTATGGGCCATGCAAATGCAGCCAATTTAAAAACTTTTCCCGCTAGACTTTAAATTGACCTAGATAGTTGAGAGCGACACAGTCCTTAGGAAAATGGGCCTTAAATAACGAATACTTTTCAAGTTTTTACGGCTGACAGGGCATTTAAAAGCACATAGCTCTATGTGCTCCTTTTCAATCTCATTTTGCTTATCGCAAAGTAAGGCCCAATCTCCTTTCTCCAATTAATTGGGATTTCCATTCAATGCTGGCCCTGTTTATCCACAATATTGGCCACTGCTTAGGCCCCAATAATGAAAGCACTACATATAACTTGGCTCAAAAGGCGTGGACCTCGTCTCGGCCACAAACATGTAAATAAACACAACTTGGGAGAAATGCAACAGCTGCTCAGCTCGAACAAAGATCGTTTCGAAATGTACTTACCATGCAGATAAAGTGCGACGACGTCTTTTTTACGCCGTATTTACTCTGCTCGTTGACGTGGCATAAAAATATTTATTAACTGACTCGGAACGGAAATGTTGACTTGACCCCGACCGCAGAGCAGGCAAGGATATGGATTCCAGCATGTTTGCACTGGCTTTGAGCTCAGTTCGGGAGCAGTTTGGACAGGACAATTGATGGACAAACATATTAGGAGATATATATGTCTCTATATGCATGCGAGCTGTACTGCGTGTGTCGAGGCCCAGACACTACAGCAACTACATAGTTCAGTTAACTAAAACACATACCCAAGTGCACACACACGACAGTTATTTGCTTTTATGGCAGACTGGCCCCTTTCCCACTTCCCCTTCCTGTCTGCTGAAATCTGGACATGCTGTGTACGTCAGTTGGCTGAACAGTTTATCCTGCATATAAACTTCAACAACATATACAACATGCCCCCCAAGTTCACACCCACATCGCATTGGCCTACAACTATTTCCGCTTACTGCTAAACAAATCCCAGCTAGCAAAACATTTCGGTTCGGGAACAATGGACGCACAACGCTACGTATACGCAATATTGGCAGTTGGCATATTATTGGAGTTTCGCCATTGAATTGACGGATTGAAGGGGATGGATTGGATGGGTTGGCTCCAATGGGGTGAGGTGGTTCTTGGGGTGGGGCTTCGGCGGTGAGCAAATCACCAGCCAAGTCTTTAACCCAGCTTCATTTAATATGTTGACAAGTTGATAAATTGTTTTGCATAAACATATTCCGCCTTTGGGTGAATCGTTTAATTGGACTGAGAATTGAATGAAATGGCATGGAATGCGAGCCGACAATTGGCTTTTTGATAGATTTTTCTATGGGGAGGGCTTGGGAGATAATGACGATTAACAGGTAAAATTCTAATATTTTTTTTTGGCCCTACAAACACGTAACTATTGAATGGGAAAACATGGCTACCATGCTTTAAAAGAAACTATACAGAATGATAAAAATATAATATTTTTATTAAACCCACAAACCGCACAAAACTGTATACTTTTTAAAAATATTGTGGTATGTTTTTACTTTTTTATCTATCTTGTAAACTTTTATAGATTTGCAAAAAACGCCCACACTTTCAAAAAATGTTTAAGTTTTTTTAATTTTATTATTTTATTCCCAATTTCCACCGATATATCACAAAATGTTGAATTTTCTCGTTTGCACTTCCACTAGCTGAGTAACGGGTATCTGATAGTCGGGGAACTCGACTATAGCTCTCTATCTTGTTTAAATTGACAACTGCATCTCTAGGATACTTTTCCTTGCAAGCACTTGATCGATTTTTACCCCATATATCGAATCGAATTTGATGTTACTTGAAAAGTTGTTGTGGCACACATCTGAGTCTAAGACTGCGGCAAGAGGGTGCTAAGTGATAAAATATAAAAAGCGAGTGGCAAGTGTGGCGTAAAAAGATGTCACCAGCTGACGCAGACATTCTTAATATTTGATGTCGAATCACGCAGCAAGCAGCAGCTGTGACCCCAAAACACCGGGTTTGGGATGGGAGAACCCGTGACCCATTCCCTGATCCGAGCAAAACGGCAGACATTAACAATTTAATGCATTTGGCGAAATAAAATGCATAAATTCGACATGCTAAATTAAACCTGCAAAGTGGACTCCGCTCGAAGTAGACTCCACTTTGTGGTCCTGCATACGAAATCAGTAGCGTTTAGTTGATTATAGTGATGGCGAAGGACTGGCCCTGATTTTCATGTGATTTACAAGGGTCCCAAATGAAAAGTAGGGGTTTTGGGTTTTTCGGCAGATGAGATGCCATTGTAAAATGCCAGAAACAATTTAATGCTTCATTGATAACCGCACATATGCGACCCTGTGACTGACAGCCCAGACTTATCTTGGCTTTTCTTTTCTTTTCTCTCCCATATTTTCCTTTCTTTTCACTTTTTGGCCTTCCCCGTCGAAACTTGTCGTCAAACGGAATCGAAAGGAATCGAACTGAGGAAAAGCGGAAAATGTATCGCAACTGTGCGATAAACATATGAAAAATGCACATGCGGTGAGCCAAGTTCAATTCCAGAGGCCAAAAGTTTACGCCACTTAATGGAACTTGACGCAAATTCAATTACAACACGGCTCCTCACACCCCAAACTTACTCATGTGAGGATGGCGGAAAAACTTGCAAAGAAATTTGCGGAAAAACGTTGGCAGTCAACTTTCACCACCCGAAACCCCGCAAGGAAGGCTCTTTTTCCGCATTTTGGCGAATTACGTTTGCTGCTAGATTTTAAAACAACCAAAGACTTCATTCGGCTTATCATTTATTTTCATAAATTATTTTATTTTATAGAACTTTTCTATTGAACAAGGAAAGAGTACTTAATGGTCTGAAGCCTCTTTTTGTTTTTAGAATATTTCTGGAATCTTTGTAACCGCCGAAGGCTGTTTTTGCAATAAATAGTGATAGAAATAGTCGAAGGAACTCAAATGGAATCGAAGTTTTTCCCGACTTGCGGGCTGTGGGCAGAAACCCTGCTTTGGCTACACTTTTGCTGCAATTAGCAAATAAAACTTGGCTTATTTCGGTGAGCAAATGAGGCGTGGTCGGGCGGTCGGGCGACTCGAGAAACTTTTGCAATCACTTTCGTTTGCATTCATTATTGGCGGGGGGAAAGGATTTGAGTGCCAGTTTTCTAGGGGCTTGGGTCAACTCGAAAGTCAGCGAAAGGATGTGGCACTTCCTTGCTCATTCAGTTGAAAACTTTTTGTTTTAACCATTGATTTTATCGATGGAGTGCTAGAGTGATTTAATTAATGTTATTGCGGAAAGCAGTGAGTTAAACATTAGTACAAATGTATTGAAAGGTTAATAGGTTAATAAATTCTTATAATTTTTATATATAATTCTTAAATATTCTTATATATAAATTCTTAAAATTTTATATATAATTATCAACTAAGAAATGGAAGTTCAAAAATGAGCTTTTTAAGAAATAAAATTAAACTTCCGTTTCCGGTTAAAATTTAAACGATGAGCGGGAAATCATTACAAGACTTTCGAAGCGCCGCACATCGGCGAGTTTCGGAACCAGTAAACTGTCGTGTAGAACTACATTTTACGTAGACTTTCTACAGCGACCTCTACAGCAACAGCTTGGGCTGCCTGCCGCCTAGGTGGCGCTTTAGCAGCGCACAACCGGATGAAACAAATTAATTAACTAATTTGAAGCTAATTTTAACTAATTTGCTCAACCAATGTGCAGAAATAATAAAATTGCTAAATCACGTAAAAAAATCCACATCCGGCCACGTGGCAAACGTATTCAATTACGTATATTCAATCGAGCTGCAAGCCGAAAATACCTCAAGCTAACCCGATTATAATGGAATTCGAGCGAAGTTCTCCATATATACGTGACCTTTTCGATCTAGGGCCAAGTGCAGCCGCCGAACGATGCAGTCTGCGCAGAAGCTCGAACTGGCACTGACCTTAGTGCTGATTTGGGGCCTGACCCAAAGCCTGGTGGAGTCCAGAAGATGGCAAAAGTCCGTGCAACTGAAGCTGCACAGGGAAACGAACCACAGCAAAGTGATGGAGAGTTTTCCCAGCCAGAAGCTGAGACTCAAGGAAAAACTGAGCACGACCAACGAGCTGGTGATATCCTCGGCATCTGCATCGGACACATCCGTGGCAAGGGATAACCTGTTCAATTCCCACAACACCGAGTACTACGTTACGGGCAGTTTCGGGTCGCCGGAGGCGCAGCAGGTGACCCTGCTGATGGACACCGCCTCGGCGAATCTGCTGGTCTACTCCTCGAAGTTTGTGACTGAGTCCTGTTCGGGGCACAGTGGCTACAGCTCCAGTGAGTCGCAAACTTATCAGGCCAATGGAACTGCCTTCGAGATACAGTACGCATCGCAGGACGTGCTAAAGGGATTCCTCTCCACGGACACCTTCACCCTGGGAGATCTGTCCCTCGAGAATCAGACCTTTGCCGAAATCAACTCGGCTCCTGCAGCCATGTGCCAACAGTCGAATTACGATGGCATCCTTGGGCTTGGACTCGTTCAGATCGCGCTGGGTGGAGTGAAGACCCCCCTGGAAAACATGTGGGATCAGGGACTCATCGACGAACCCGTCTTCTCCCTCTACGTCAACCGGAACGCCTCGGATGCGAGTAATGGAGGCTTCTTGCTGCTCGGGGGCTCGGATCCCACTCTCTACCAGGGCTGCCTGACATATGTGCCCCTATCCAAAGTGGCCTTTTGGCAGATCACGGTGGGCCGAGTTGGGATTGGGTCCAAGAATCTCTGCTCCAACTGCCAGGCCATCTTCGACGTGGGCACCTCCTTGATAATTGTGCCGTGTCCTGCTCTAAAAATCATAAACAAAAAACTGGGCCTTAAGGAAGCCGACAAGAAAAACGGAGTCTATATCATCGACTGCAGCAAGGTGTCCAGTCTGCCGAACGTCGTCCTTAATATCGGATGGAAGGACTTCACTCTCACCCCGTCCGACTACATTCTCAACTACAGTGGAACCTGCGTATCCGGGTTTTCCAGTCTCTCCGACTGCAATGGCACCCAAGCCATGATGGATGATGGCGAAGATTTGAACAGCATGTGGGTGTTCGGCGATGTGTTCTTTGGAGCCATCTTCACTCTGTTCGATTTCGGCCTCAATTTAGTTGGCATGGCTCCCAAGGTTTAGGCCAAGGTGGATCTTCCATCTACATATATTTACAGCAATTATTTCCCAAGATATTTTTCTAGATTGGTGATTGTTGATACCTAATATAGCAGATTCAGTCATTTATTTCCATTGTCCAAATAAATAAAATGGTGTTGGGAACCTCGAAATCGAAGCTCGTCTGTAAAAGGTGATAAACAAGATACGCGCCACACGCGATTTGTTTACAGCACACTTAGTTTGTTATCAATTGGGTGCCAAATGTGCAATTACTTCCCAGGCAGTTCCATCGAAAATGGAAAATTGGGCGATTTCAGGCGAAGTTGATCGAAAATCCCAAATGCCGAATCCAAATGCCGGTGCGCATTGTTTCTCCAATTCTGCACGACCGCAAGCCGTGTAAACAAGGCCAAGATGGATAAGGACCATCGATCAAGCTTGATATCTTCTGTGGGACAGTTTTGGACTTATCACCGACCATATAAAAGGCGCTGTCTGATGTTTTTCTTCAGTCCAGCCCCAGACGATAAAGAGGGCAGCACAATATCTCTCGTTAGGAACGTTCAGGTTACTCAATAAATCGCAATGCTGAAGTGGCTGGTGCTGTTGACCATCGTGGCGCTGGTCAGTGCCGAGATGCACCGCATCAAGATCCACAGGAACCGGGATCACAAGCACACCCGGCAGCATCGCAAGCAGGCCATCCAGGCCCTGAGGCAGAAGTACCACCAGCAGAACGATATCATTTACGACTACGGAGTGCCCATTTACATGCAGCCCGACTACGGCTACGACTATCCCAGCCAGACCTCGGATGACTACACGTCCGAGGAGCTGGGCAACTCGATGAACATGTACTACTACGGCCTGATTGGCATTGGCACCCCGGAGCAGCTGTTCAAGGTGGTCTTCGACACGGGCTCGGCGAACCTGTGGGTGCCCTCCGCCCAGTGCCTGGCCACGGACGTGGCCTGCCAGCAGCACAGCCAGTACAACTCCAGTGCGTCCTCCACCTTCGTGGCCAGCGGGCAGAACTTCTCCATCCAGTACGGCACTGGCAGCGTCTCCGGCTATCTGGCCATGGATACGGTGACCATCAACGGCCTGGCCATTCTAAACCAGACCTTCGGAGAGGCGGTTTCCCAGCCGGGTGCCAGCTTCACCGACGTGGCGTTCGACGGCATCCTGGGCATGGGCTACCAGCAGATCGCCGAGGACTTCGTGGTGCCGCCGTTCTACAATCTCTACGAGGAAGGCCTCATCGACGAGCCTGTCTTCGGCTTCTACCTGGCCCGGAACGGCTCCGCCGTGGAGGGTGGCCAGCTGACCCTGGGCGGCACCGACCAGAACCTCATCGCTGGCGAGATGACCTACACACCCGTCACCCAGCAGGGCTACTGGCAGTTCGCTGTGAACAACATCACCTGGAACGGAACGCTGATCTCGAGCGGCTGCCAGGCAATCGCCGACACTGGCACCTCCCTGATCGCCGTTCCCTCGGCAGCCTACATCCAGCTGAACAACCTCATTGGAGGCGTTCTCGTCGCGGGCGACTACTACGTGCCCTGCTCCACTGCCTCCTCCCTGCCCGTGCTGACCCTCAACATCGGTGGCACCGACTTCTACCTGCCCCCCTCGGTTTACATCCAAAGCTACACCTATGGCAACCTCACCACCTGCATGTCCACCTTCACCGACATCGGAACGGGATTCTGGATCCTGGGCGACGTCTTCCTGGGCCAGTACTACTCCGAGTTTGATTTCGGTCAGAACCGCGTGGGTTTCGCCAGCCTGGCTTAGATTGGCTTGGACCGAACCAACAAAGGTTTCTAGCTTTACCATGCTTCCAAAAATGTAAAAAATAAATGCCCTTCTATTGATTAACTGCTTTAAGCCTTTCAAAGGGCGTATAATTTGGCCAAGCCAATATTTTGGTGCCACTGTGTACTACATGATTGTCAACACCCCGAAATGTGTTCGATGGAATGCTCCGCGTTATCACGTGAGAAATTCTTGGCTAAGTGGTGTGAAAATTAAGCCAGCTGCGGAATAGGTGGCCTTATCAGAGAACGAAGCGCTGCCCACATGCAGAGCTATAAATACGTGACCCAGTAGGCCTCAATTGGCAATCAGAATCTCGGACCATGAGGGACAGATGGAGCCGTTTCCAGCTATTGCTGTTCTGGCTAACAGTCTTGGCCGTCTGGGCCTTTGAAGTGGAGGCCAGGAAGCGCGTTAAGCTCGGATTGCACAAGAATCCCGAGCCCATCGAGGAGAACATAAAGAACGAACTGAAGACGCTGTCCATCAAGCACAAGTTGAAGGCGGATGATACACAGGCCACCACGAAGCAGGACACAAAGTCACAAGGCACAGGATCCCGAGTCGCCACACTGGAAAATCGCTACAACACGGAGTACTACACAACGCTGGGATTCGGCAATCCGCCCCAGGCTATGCAGGTGCTGATCGACACGGGCTCGGCGAATCTCTGGGTGCTTTCGTCCAAGTGTCCGGACTCGGTGGCACCCTGTGCCAATCGCATCAAGTACAACTCAAGTGCTTCGACTACCTACAGGGCTATCAACTCCACATTCAGCATTGCATATGGCTCCAATTCGGAGGATGGACCCATAGCACTCTCCGGCTTTCAGTCGCAGGACACGGTGAACTTCGGCGGATACTCCATTAAGAATCAGATCTTCGCCGAAATCAACTATGCACCAGATACCGCCTTCCTGAAGTCCGAGTTCGTTGGGATTGTGGGATTGGGGTTCTCCAGCATAGCCATGGGCGGTATCACGCCACCCTTCTACAACTTGGTGGCCGAAGGCCTAATAAGCCGAGCTGTGTTCTCCATCTACTTGAATAGAAATGGCACAGATGCCACTCACGGCGGGGAGCTGATCCTGGGAGGCACCGATTCGGGTCTGTACAGTGGCTGCTTGACCTATGTGCCCGTTTCCAGCGCAGGATATTGGCAATTTACGATGACGAGCGCCACGGTGAATGGGTTTCAGTTTTGTGAGAACTGCGAGGCCATACTCGATGTGGGCACTTCCCTAATTGTGGTGCCTGAGCCAGTCCTAGCTGCCATCAACCAAATATTGGGCGTTCTCGACGCAACCCCTTCGAATGGCGTCTACCAAGTAAATTGCTCCACGGTCAGCGAGCTGCCGGACGTAGTCCTCACCATTGCCCGCCGGAAGTTCCCCTTGAAGTTCAGCGACTATGTGCTGCGTTACGGGAACACTTGCGTCTCGGGATTCACCAGCATGAAAGGCAACAACCTGCTGATTCTGGGCGAGATCTTCCTGGGCGCCTACTATACGGTCTACGATACTGTCTACAAGCTCATTGGACTGGCACCAGCAGTTCATTAGGTCATTCCACCTATCTATTCCAGCAAGTTCTTTAACAATGTATTCTCTGTATTACCTACTCACTTTAATAAATAACACCCCTTTTAAAAACTAGAGCTACACCCATTACTTATTTAATTTGCGTTTCACTGAGTTTCCTCTATAAATCACATATTCCCGCAAGACTCGCGTTTTAACCCACATTACGTGTGATTCCAAATAAGTATGAGCCAGATAAATCCCCGCGATGAAACTATAAATGGGGCGTACTGAGCAGGAACCCACCAGTGAGCCACCATGAATATAAGTGTGATTACCCTACTGTTCTGCCTGATCGTGCTTGTGGAGGGCAGGAAAGTCCACAGGTTTCGACTGCAAAGACGATCCCACCGCCACCACAAGCTTCCGCAACCCCATCTGCACCTGCAATTCCGCAACGCCCTGCGAAGGAAGTACGGATATACGCCACTCCGGACGGTGAATGCTGTGCAAGTGGCCAGTGAGTCCGGCAAGGGAGCCGTGCTGTCCGAAGCCCTGATAAATTCCTACGATACCAACTTTTTCGGACTTGTATCGGTCGGAGATCAGCCATTCACCGTGCAATTCGACTCGGGATCCTCGGACCTCTGGGTGCCCAGTTCCAATTGCGAATTCTGCATCAAGAAGTGCGGCAACAAGTTCTTCCAAAAGTCCAAGTCCAAGTCCTTTCGGTCGAGTGGAGTTCCATTTAGCATCACCTACGGCTCGGGATCCGTGAAGGGAATCGTGGCCACGGACAATGTTGGCTTCGGCGATCTGAAGATCCTGCAGCAAGGCATTGGATTGGTCAACATTTCCGACTCCTGTTCCGTTTTCGATGGAATCGCTGGCCTCGCCTTCCAGCAGCTCTCCATGACCCGATCGGTGCCTCCATTCCAGCAAATGATTGACCAACAGTTGGTGGAGAAGCCGATCTTCTCTTTCCACCTGAAGAGCGGCTCCAGCGACGGTGGCTCCATGATTCTCGGTGGATCGAACTCGAGTCTGTACTACGGCCCCTTGACCTACACCAATGTGACCGAGGCCAAGTACTGGACCTTCAGGATGGACGGCATTGAGGTCCATGGGAAGGGTTCGAGGCGCTGCGACTCGGGCTGCAAGGCCATCATGGACACGGGCACCTCCCTGATCGTGGGTCCTGTGATGGACGTCCTCTACCTGAACCAGGCCATCGGAGCCAAGCACAATGCCACCTATGACCTGTACACCGTCGACTGTGACTCCATTGACCAACTTCCGATCATGGTGTTTTACATCGCTGGCAAGGAGTTCTTCGTGAAGCCACAGACCTACGTGATTGTGTACCAGGACTTTTGCTTCGCCGGCTTGATTGACATGCGGGGCCTGGACTACTGGATAATCGGCGATGTCTTCCTGCGGGAGAACTATGTGGAATTCGACTGGGCCAGGAAGAGAATAGGCATAGCACCGGCTGTATAAATGCATTTTATTTGAAAAAAAAATATGAATACTGTATCTACATTACTTGCTGTTCCAAGGTCGGACTAAAATTTGGTAAACAAAAATATTACCTCTTGTATAAGTGGTAATTACAGAAAAAAATTTAATTGTAAGAGTTGGTCAAATAAATGGGCGTTAAGTCCGATCGAGAAATCGAACCCCCGAGCTTTTTGGCGGGCCGTTACTTGCGGGTTCCTACTGGAGGTTCCTTTCCATTTTGTGGCGTTTGCTGACCACCGTTGCCCCCAAAAATGGCACGCGGCATGCGGGGCTGTTGCTGCTGCTGCTGTTGTTGCTGCTGCTGCTGCTGCAAGTGCTGCAACTGTCGCAGCTGCACTTGCTGCTGAAACTCCAGGTTCTTGTAGATCATGGCTGCTGGAGCAGCAGCACCACCAGGGGCCTGATGCTGCTGCGGGGCAGCCTGCTGCGAGTGCTGCTGGTTGTGCTGCGGAGCTTGCCGCAGGTTCCGCGCCATCAACTGCTGGTAGAGCAGAGCAAAGTCCTTGGGATTGGCGTGGGACAATGCAGCCAGATCCCCGACACTGGGATGATGTAGCGGTGGTGCCGCCTGCTGCTGCTGCTGCTGCTGATGATGCAGGGGCTTCTGTGGCACGTGGAGATGTTGCTGGCCGTGGGGCGCATTCAGCTGCGGTTGTGGCGGCGCTTGGTGTTGCATCTGATGGTAAAACTGCGGAAATGGTATCTCATTGAAATTTTTCACCGAGTTGCGGTTGTGATTTTCGTTGCCAAGTGGACGATGCTGTTGCTGCTGCTGCTGATGTTGCTGCTGCTGTTGATGTTGTTGATGCTGCTGCTGCTGATGCTGGGGAGTCTGCCTCTGTTGTTGCTGAAAGCCGCTCTAAAACATGAAATAAACGTTTAGCAAGAGGCACAGAATATTCGTAGGATGTGGGTTAAAAACACCCAGTTCTAAAACTTTTTCAAAATCATTGGTGATTTGAAAACCCCGTGAACTATTTAATAGAGTCGCGCCAGCTTGCACATAGCTTACCCCCGACAAGTTGGACCCCGAGGCAGCGCCTTCATGTTCCGGAGAAGCTTGTCTTCTTTCATATAGAGGCACCGACCTGGCGGATCGCTCGTATCCCGGGTGCGAACTCCAAGCTTGACTCACCATCGGTTTGAGGCCCGCGAAACAGCTGGCCGTGTCCTTGGGGAAGTCGAGGAAGCTCTCCCCGAAGAGGGAGTAGTTCTCGGCCGCCTTGAAGTAGTTCTGGCTGCCGTTCTCCGGGTAACTGGTGCTATCTTCGTAGAGAACCCGCTCCACCTCGGTTACGTAAATGCTGGCATTGTCGCTGGCCGCTGGCTTGCTGACAGATCCCATTTCACAGCCCGTTCCTGATCCGCATCCGGTTGGAAAATTGGGCACAGGCTGCTCGGGCGGCTCCACGAGCCCCAGGCAGACGTCGTTGGGCGTTACGGCCCAGATTTTGTTGGCCAGCTGACTGGATATGTTGGCTAATGGGGTAGAATGGCAGAATGGTAGCATGATGAGCATCAATCTGACCCTGAAGCTCACACGAAAGTTTTACCTTGAGTGGCAGCCGAAGTCTCATTCTCGTCCAGGTCATCGAATATCTGTTGGCTCCTATTGCTGGTACTCTCGGTCATCGCGCAACTTGTAGGAGCATAAACTATGAATTTGGAGGAGCGAGCCAATCTGCCTGACTTAAATTACATAAATTGTTCAACCTTCGCCTACTGTGTCCCGCAGCTCACTGAATGAAAGCAATGGAAAAGCCTGGGCAATCGAGCAAGAGCCCAGTCAATTCACAGCCCAGTTCACAGTTTGTTTATGAATTCTGGCTTGGATTACGCAGTAAACAATTAACTTATGTACTCCGCACCTCAACGCATTCCAGCTTCTGGCAAATGAAGCAAGAGAAAGGAAACGTGCTCGGCGAAGAAGAATCTGACATAAGGATGATGGGCAGCACTGGACTTTTTTTGCAACACTGTGATTTCCCTAAGTGGCTTGAACTTGTTTGGTCTAAATGTTGTGAAAGAAAAGTTTCAGGTGTGCTAGTTAAATAAGAGTAGTATATAGCATAGGATTATGTTTGCAAATATTCAACTCATAATCGGCAATTATCCAGGAAGCCCCAAAAACCGCGTGCCACAATGTGACCGTTTGCTCAGCACTTATATATGTACATATGTATGTATTCTTGTTAAACGCCAAATAAGCACTTAAGTCAAATTTAAAAAGTGCTGACTGACATGGAAGCATTTGCAACATTCTAAAAATATATCATTTGATCAGTAACAGTAGTATCTTTATTTAAAAGGTGTTAACAAAGCCGTACACGAACAAGTCACAGTGGGTCTTAGGCTAAACAGATAGAAATCACTAGCAACTAAAAATCAGTTTAGGGGCTCCGTGATCACATAACAAAATCCAGCTCCTGCGCCGCACAATTTCACTGGTGGCAGTTGTAGCAGAGTTGGGGTGCACCTGGAAAAGTAAATAAATGTGAAAGCGACTATATATTTCTGTGGCCTGAGGTGCCTACACATTTTCGGTGCTGTTGTTGCCGCAGTTTCCATGCTCGTTCCATCCCCAGGTGTAGACCTGACCTGCCGTAGTCCTCAGTAGACCGTGTTCGGCGCCCATGTGAATTCTGGCAGGGCCCTGGTGCTCAGGAAGCTTCAGCCGAAGTGGCGTGGGTATGGCCTGCTGCTCGCTGAACGAACCCATGCCCAGCTGACCGTAGCAGTTGCGACCCCACACGAGGATCTCGTTGTTTTTGAGCACAGCTGCATTGTGGGTCCAGCCCACGGCCAACTGGCGCACATCCTCCTCAAACTGAAAGGCGTTGGACTGGCCGAACTTGTTGTCACCCAGAGTCAGGATTCTCTTCGTGCTGCCTCCACCCGATTCGCTTAGATCCGCGCACTTGAGCAGCATGTGGTTCTGACCGCTCGAAATGGAAACTATCCGCAGTTCGTTGGGATTGTGGGCCTGGATCTTCACCGTATTGCAGCGGTGCAGGCAGGTGGCCGTGATATCCAGCTTCATGGGCGGAGGGTCCATGATCCTAAGTCGGCCGAAAACGTAGATCTTGTTGTCCTCCGTGAGGACGGCACAGTGGCGCAGGCCGAAGCTGATCCTCTGGGCGGCTTCCTCGCGTGGAAGCTTTACTGGCATGGGTCTTCTCACAGCAATAAAGCCGCGCTGGCAAATTCCCAGCTGCTGAAAGGCATTTGAGCCCCAGACAAACAGGCGCTTGGTCAGCGTGATGGCTCCCGAAATGTCCCAGCCACAGCTGATGGTTTCCACTGGAACTTCCTGGAATCAAATTGTTAGATCGAGATTATGCGATCTTCGCCGTTCCTCACCCCGAAGTATTCCGTAGGAATCATCTTGAACTCGCTGTGGCACTCCTCCGTGGAATCCAGTCCCAGTTGGCCGCGATTGTTCCATCCGCAGGCATGAATCCTTCCGCTTGTGTCGAGGATGAGAACGTGACCACCACCTCCGCGAATGAAGCGCACTTGGGCGGGGGCGAAGGAGCACTTGGCCACCCGTTGCGGTGTCATGCACAATTCGGACTCAAAGCCAAGGCCGAGCTGGCCGTGAGAATTGGCACCCTAAGACATGGCGAAAAAGGGGGCGGGAACCCCAGCCAAGGAAATCACTCATTAATTTGCAATGCAAATGCACCGTGGCGATGTCTCTGTCATGCCTTCTTGTCATACCCTTGCAGAGAGTAAAGCAGTTTGTGGTCTACTCCAGTCAATCATCATGAGTATCATGAGTATCTATGAGATATCAAGATGTTGAGCTACGGATTTGAGACTTTGGGCTTCTCAGATATAGAAACACTTAAAAGCGTGCTTAAATAGTATATCAAATTTGGTAAAACAATCGTTTTGAGGACTTGAGCGATAGTAGTTAACTTTAAGTAAGATTCTAGTTCTTGGATCTACAGGTGGCACGGAGATGGGATTTATTACCACCTCAGTGCAACTCGCTCTCTGCAAGGGTATTCCAGTGGTCGGCTCCTCATCGAGGCTTGTACTGCGGCTCCTACCCAGGCGTAAACCTCCATTCCTGTGACCACCAGTTGCTCGTTTCGCGCCGACTTCCGGTTGCTGTTCGTCGCCGGGTTTTTCGTGGTGATTTAATGCACCGCAGTCACGCCAGGAATGCGAATGCTGGTCCGATGGTTCCGACTCCTCGATGGCCACCAGTTGGCTCCGAAAGCGCTGTTCTGTCTCTGGCAGCTCATGTAAAACTGAGGCTTGGCTGTGCTTTGGAATTACTTTTATATTTCGCGTTCATTAGTTTCGGCGTCGCATGCTAAAATGTAAACAATGCAAATGCGGCAGCGTTGCCAGATCTGCGCGCACAGCTGTTGCTTTTACATGACTCTGCTGGATAACAGACACTTGTGTACTGTATTTAATTTCCCGCCAATATAAAATTTAAATTTAGAGAACTACTTGATCTTGTTTATAAGCTTTCAGCAATATTTAGTAATATTTAAAGCAAAACTCAGTTGACCTCCTAGGACCCAACTAATAACACTTTGCTTCCATTTAATGTCTCATTTGGTATGGCCATAACGATTATATAATCCCGCCGGACGGGCGTGAAAATCGTGTCAAGCGCATATAAATATATTCTAATTAAAAGCAATAAAAGTTCAGGGCGAAGGTTAAAGAGCATGCAATTTTAATTAAGCTTTAATTGTCGGGCTGGGCCAAGTAAGCCACACTAGTTAGCCACAATGTGAGTTGGCCTAAGAAAAATGTGGTAGGGAGTTAATAGAATGCAAGGGGAACGAAGTGGAGATTGCCTAGGATTATTTGCATTCCAGTGGGTTAGTATAATGGTAAAATGTTAAAGAAATAATATAAGAAATGGCATTAATCAAATTTTAAAAATCAAATCAGTTAAAATTTGCCCCAAGCTTCGAAAGCGCTGCATCATATTGATGAAAGTTATTCATAATCGCTTCGAACCCATTCGAATTCACCCACGCCCAGGTGAGCTGGTTTTAATTACACCGAAATCACGGCGCTAGAAAATCAGAGCTACACAAATGGGCAACTGGCGCTAACAGCAGGACATTACAAAGCTGCAACGTTCGCCTGGCATGCGATGTGGCCAGGACCTCCTCCTCCTCCTCGCCTGGAAATCGAACCCCTCTCACGTGAAGAATGCACTGTGGTCCGCATTTGCAATTCAAAAATTGCCTGGCACACACGGCGAACGCCGAAGGGAGGCGCCCCTAAACGCTAGAAATGAAACTGATGATTTTCACTTGATACCCGCAAACGAAGAAAAGCCGTGGAAGAAAAGACTGCTGCTCCACATGCAATCGCAGGTGGCCAAAGGCGATGGAAATGGAAATCGCTCTGAATTGCAATGGCAGTCAATTAAAGCAGGGGGAATTAACATGTTCGCCGTCGAATTAGAATAGTAAAATCCAGAGGAAGAGGTTGCAAATGGAATAGGAATTTCATTTGCAGGATATTCAAAAGTCGCCTTGGCTAACTCACTCTTCTGCGAGTCCAGTATGAATTGTTATCCGTTTCTGGGCGCGAATATGACGGCTTATACGAGGGCCTTCCGCTGTGCTGTGGTCAACTAAGAAATATATGACGGGAAATCCCCGTAAAACTATGAGCAATAAAACCAAATGAGATATGAACTATTGGGTAGAGGTTTATTAATTTGGGCGCATATATAACGGGCTAAGTGTATGAATTAAATCACATTTGCCAAGCAACCACGATACTGGAAACTTTTACATTGAGTCTATTTCTTAAATTGTAAGTGATATTCACAAATTTAGTACAGAATTTAAATTTTGGCGGAATAATAACATAACAGAGCTGTTGCTGAGCTGTAACACAACAGTGACAGTGCTGCAAAACGCTTACAGCCCGAAAGTATGCAGTACTGTAGTGCACAGTAAGCGCCAAATTCAAACGTTTTGAAAACATCAATATTATCCTTTAGCCATTCTAGAAGTCCGCGAGGGATCCCTGCACGGATAAGTGTATTTCGAAGGACTTCCTATAAGGCCTCACTTGCATTCGCGCGTGCATGTGTGTGCGTGCATGTGTGATTGTGAGTGTTCCCTGCGGAGTAATTTAAACGTAAAGGACACGTGACTCCATTTCCTGTATGTTTTTGGCATCTTTACGACTTTTTGTCTGTTGGTTGTCACATTTTTCTCGGTTTTTGTTGCTCCTGCGTGTTGACTCGGTTTCGTGTGCTGAGCTCTCTTTTTGCTAATGCCATTTTTGTTGCTCTTTTTGGCTGCCGTCGCTAAAAAGAGACATTTTTTGCTGTTTTCGAAATTAAATCTAATTTGATGTGCAAATGTGTTGTGTTGGCACTGGCGCTTTGTTATTAGCCCCACTCCGGCACGTGTTGCCTCCCCGGCTTTTATTATTCCAACTTGTCCCTACCAACTTTGCAGCTACAGTGGACTCTCGAACATCACGACGGCAGCGAAATAGTATTTAGTTGGGTTCACTTCTCGAATTCCTATCAAGTAATTAATGAATCTAATGCTGGAACTACCGTATATTACCTAGTACTCATGGAGACAAATGTAAGTTATTTATATGCATAAAATAGGTGGTTAGGAATAAATAATTTTCGAGTTACCATGGTGTCTTCTTTGGCCCTTTGAATTAACAGTTAACGCGCAAATGGCTTACATTTTCTCCTTGCCCGCCCGTTG